TCTCTCATACTTCGGACATGTTGTCAGGAGGGACCAGTCACTGGAGAAGGATATCATGTTTGGTAAGGTGGAGGGTCAGAGAAAAAGAGGAAGACCCCCAACTAGATGGATTAGCCAAGTGGCAGCATCGATGGACTCAAGCATGGCAACAGTAGCGAGGTTGGCCCAGGATCAGGCAGTGTTTTGTTCTGCTGTGCATAAGGTCACTATGGGTCGGTATGGACTCGATGGCACCTAACAACAACAAGGGCCCTGACAAACGGAGAAAGATAAGGTTTCTCGCTCCTATAAAGATTTACAGCCTGGGAAACCTATATAGGATCACTATGAGTCGGAACGTACTCCACAGCACACAACAGTAGTACAAGCAGAGGGAAAGGGCCTGTGGGTCCCAGGGCTGCTCTCTCTGAAAAGTCTCCTAGTTTTAATGAAATTAGCATGCAAACATTCTTGAAGGACAACCTTGTTCCAGACTGGGGGTGCTCCTTTGGACTTAGTGTAACTGAGGAAACAGAGAGAGGCATCCCTCATCCTACCTCTGTCTCTTCCCTTTGTTAGTTTAAGTGGCAACAACTTTGTAATCACTAATAAAGTCAGGTTAACACGTCACACTGGCAAAGTCAGGGTTAGCCCACCAGTGTTACAGGCACTTAAAAAGTCCCCCTCCCCCAAATTAAAACAAAAAATATTCTTTGTTTGCCGTCTTTGTACTGTTTAACACAAGTGTTTCAACAGTCTTTATTTTCCAAACAGGCAAACAGGAGAGAGTGATCTGACCCACGGTATATTGACATACCATGTAGCTATAACCTTGAGATAAAAAATAAAGGAAAAAGTCAAAACAGCTTAAAGCAAATACTAACACAACAAGTCTTCCCTCCATCTAGGTCCCTACCCCTGAGGGCAAGGGCATAACTTAGCACTAGCACATACTGGCAATGGTGGGCACATACAGGATTGGTGCCAATCCCCAGGGCCCCAAATACATATCTGGAAAGTTTGACGTGGTCGTTAATTGAGCAATTCCACTAATATATTTAAGTATCTTCTGTGTGCCAGACATGGTTTTAGGAATTGGAGCATGGGGATATGTAAGACTTACAAGTTCTCTGCCCTTATAGGAATTATCTAGTGGTATTAGAAAAAGATCAAAGAATATGTTTCCCTCTCCCTGATCCTTGAAGGAATTGGGAAAAAACAGCTGTACCAGAAAGGCTGAGCTGGTTTCCTGGATTCTGTATACCCAAGAATGCAAGTGCTTCAACATTTGAGTCACACTGTGGAATGCCCATTAAAGATAGATAAAAAAGTTGCACAGAACAAAAAAAACCCAGATCTCTCCCCAGCTTGCATTTGAGGGTATTTTAGGAGCTTCTACCGTCTTGATCAAGCTAAGTCACACATTCATATAACAATATTTATAAAATGATGTACCTGTTCAAGTCATATTTTCAATTAATAAGGGGTGCCTGCCCCAAGCTATGGTATTTTCAATAGCCTCATATACATGTGAATATTCAATTGTGAATAAGGAAGACCATAGAAGAACTGATGCATTTAAATTTAGTGTTGGGGAAGAATATTAAAAGTACCATGGACTACCAGAAGAATAAACAAATCTATTTTGAGAGAAGACGTACAGCAAGAATGTTCCTTAGAAGCCAAGATGGCAAAACTTGTCTGCCATACTTCCGAATGGTTATCAGGGACCAGGCTCTATAGAAGGGCATCCTACTTGGTAAAGTGGAGGGTCATTGAAAAAGAGGAAGACCCCATCAAGATGGACCGACACAGTGGCAGCAATAATGGGCTCAAGTGTAACAAAAATTGTAAGGATGGTGCAGAACTGGACAGTGTTTTGTTCTTTTGAGTTTAAGGTTGCTATGAGTCAGGACCAACTCCATAGCACCTAACACTAACTACAACATAAGATGATGAATAAAAGAAAAAGAATGGCTTACCCCTTGCCAAAAGAATTCCAAAGTAAGTTACTGGATATCTTTGTTCTGTTGAGCCAATGTTAAACATTTACTCATTGAATCGTCTTAACCAACCACCTGGTGAGATGAACGCTGATTTTATTCCCATTTCCCATGTGAAGAAACAGGCCTAGAGGAGTTAATTACCTTGCCCCTTACTCCCATGGACACAAACCTGGTAGATAATGGGAAAAAAGCAAACCCCAACCCTGTCTAACTCCAAAGTCCATATTCTAAAGCATTACACTTCCTTCCACAAAATTATTTCTTTTTACATTTTATTTAAGGAGAAACAAATATTCATATTGAATAGGAAAAGTATTCAAGTAACTTTAAAGATTATTCTGTATTTTCAAAAATTTATCTCATAATCTCCCTGTGCAGAAGAAAGAAGAATGGTGAAAAGTAAGGACGCTTGGAATCAAATAGTTCAATGGAGCATGTGCACATCAGACTCCATGATCTGAGATCAGAAGAAATAGATGGTGCCCAGTTGAAGATCCAAAACCACAGTTGCCACTATTAACTGTTCTAAAGGGGATCACATTGGATAAAATGGGAGAAAATGTGGAACAAAACTCAAATTATAAATAATAATAATAATAAACAAGACCAGGTTTACTGATTTGAAAGAGACTGGAATAACCCAAGACTATGGCTTTTGGTCACACTTCAAGTCTGGAACTGAAATCACCCTCATGGTTCAATTTCCAGCCACAGAGTAGATAGGTACATTGTTGTTGTTATGTGCCACAGGAGTCAGTTCCAACTCATGTTAACCCTGCATAGGGTTTCCAAGGAGAAACTGGTGGATCTGAACCACCCATGTTGTGGTTAGCAGTCCAATGCTTATCTTACAGTGCCACAGCAAGACTCCAGATAGGTACATTGTTGTTATTAGGTGCTATCAAGTCAATTCCAATGCACAGCGACAATATGCACAACAGAATGAAATATTACCCAGTCCTGTGCCACACTTACAATCGTTGTTAAGCTTGAGCCCATTGCTGCTACCACTGTGAATATTCATCTCGTTGGGCCTTCCTATTGTTTTCTGATCTTCCAATTTACCCAGCATGATCTCCTTCTCCAGGGACTGGTCCCTCGTAATGTGTCCGAAGTATGAGAGACAAAGTTTTGTCACCCTGGTATCCAAGGAACATTTTAGTTATACTTCTTCCGACACAGATTTGATTGTTCTTCTAGCAATCACGGTACTTTTAATAGTCTTATCCAACACCATAACACAAATGCATCCATTCTGTGGTCTTCCTTATTCAATCACTGTCAAACTTTCACATGCATATGAAGTTACTGAAGATACCATGACTTGGGTCAGGCACACCTTAGTCCCCAAACGGACATCTTTGCTCTTCAACACTTTAAAGAAGTCTTGTGCAGCAGATTTGCCTAATGCAATATGTTGTTTGATTTCTTGTCTGCTGCTTCTATAGTGTTGATGGTGGATCCAAGCAAAATGAAGTCTTTGACAACTTCAATCTTATCTCCATTTATCATGATGATATTTATTGTTCAATTGGTGAGGATTTTTGTCTTCTTCATATTGAGGTACAACCCATACTGAAGGCTGTGGTCTTTGATCTTCATCAGTAAGTATTTTAAGACCTCTTTGTTTTCAGCAAGCAAGCCTGTATTATTTGCATATCGCAGGTTGCTAATGAGTAGACCTCCAATCCTGATGCCACACTCTTCTTTACATAATCCAGTGTCTCAAATTATTTGTTCAGAATACTGATTGAATAAGTATGGTGAAAAAATACAATCCTGACACATACCTTTCCTGATTTTAAGCCGATCAGCTAGGCACATAGAAGGAATGTTCACCATGGAATGGTCAGCCATCCAAGATCAAAAAGGCAGCATTTACTTAGGGATAAAATTCAGAAGGGTTGGAAAAGAAGGTTGAATGAAATAGGAATGGTAGGGAGGAAGTAGAATAACTGATGGTACGTGGAAGGAATTGCAGTTATTGAAATGAAATGAAATGAAATATATGATTTGTTGAATGTAAAACTTATGATCTGCTCTGTAAGCCTTCACTCAAAAAAAAAAGAAAAAGATTTTATTTCAGAAAAAAAACATTCAAACATATCCTGCCTGTCAAAATCAAATACTCTACTTCCTTCAATGCATTAGAAATTAAAAGATGAAATTTTACAATTGTTTAAAATGTACAGAAGCTCCATTATCTAAAATTGTAATTATGATTCAAGAATAAATGGAGATCAGTATTTTATTCATCCAATAAACTATTCCTCCAAGTTGGTTCTATTTTACAATGTCATACATTACCATCTCCAAATTTTACTTGATATCTGAATTAATAACAAATTAAATAAGGTGAAGCCTGTTTAGTAAGAAGAATGCAGAACTTCATATAATGGAGCTTGTGCCTATTTGGGGATAAAGCCACATAAAAAGTCCTTATTAAAAATTCAAAACTATTTGTAATAGAATTAAACTTTGGAGAATCCAGTGAGGTAGGGGGAAGGACTCTTTTTGCTTTAAATCATTTAAATTAAATTAAAAGTGTTTGGAGTCCTTATTTTAAATTTCTTTTGTGGGAAACTGTGCTGGGAATCTATTGTGCACAAAGGATGTTTGTTGGCTTTTATGCTGGAACCACCCGGCAGGTTGAGTAGAGAAACAATTAGCTCAGTCAGCAGCCGTTTGAATCTGATTAAGCCAGGAAGTGGTCACTCCCCAGAACAGGCAGATGAAGGGAATGAAGGCAATAACTTCTGAACAAGGATTTTTTTTTTTTTTTCCTGCCTGTCTCTCTGAAATAAATTCATTTTAGATTTTATTGTGTCAAGTTTTTGGCAAGAATAAATTTATTACCTTTAAGGAAACAAATGGAATCGTGTTTCCAACTAGGTCAACAGTCCACATGTGCCATGGATACCATCTCTAAGAAACTTCTGTTTATTGAGGTCGTCATAGCCTCATGCTTTGGTTACAAAGCATCTTTGACACCAAGGACTCCAGTGACAGAGGAAAATGAAGGGCCGATACCAGGCTGCTGGCCAGACTCTGGTTACTCTGGGCAGTCTCAGTGTGTTCTCTGGAGTCATCGCTTTCTTTCCTGTCTTTTCTTACAAACTTTGGTTCACAGGATGGAGTGTTCGGATTGCTTGTCCTATCTGGAATGGAGCTTTGGTAGGAAAACATTTCACTGCATATATTGAGGGAGGGGAGGAAGGGAAGAAGGGAGGGAGGGAAAACAGAACACCATATTCTTTTTGAATTAAACAATATGAGGAAATCATAATTCTATGAAAAATATCATAATTCATTTTGTTGTTATTGTCAGGTACCATCAAGTCAATTCTGACTCATAGTGATCCATGTGAGCGAATAGAACTGCCCTATGGGGTTTTCTTGGCTGTAATGTTTATGGGGCAGATCTCTAGGTCTTTCTATTGTGAAGCAACTTGTGGGTTTGAACTGCTAAACCTATGCAGACTTATAAGAAAGGAATAAAGGATTTGGCTATAATCAAGGTTTTGTTCAACTTTGGTTCTGTTGTGAAATCAGACTTTGGAGCTTTTCCAGGAGCTCCATAGAATATTTTAAGATTGTGACTTTTTTGGAAGCATATCAAGCAGACCTGTCTTTCAAGAGGCTTCTTGGTGGGTTTGAACCACCAACCTTTTGGTTAGTGGCCAAAGACTTCACCATTTGTACCACTAGGGTTCCTTGAATTCACCTTGTTGTTGTTAAGTGTTGTCAACTCATTTCCAACTCATAGAGACATTGTAGCCTGAGTTTTCAAGGGGTCGCTTGTGGGTTTGAATTGCCAACCTTGTGGTTAGCAGTCCAGTACTTGACCTACATCATCACACCTTAAAACACGGATTTATAGTTGTTGCATTTTAAATATAGGCTATTTCTTAATGTTGTTTTGTCATATATATTGTGATCAAATAAGGAGACTTTCTATGAAGCACTCAGCTGCTAACCAAATATTGATGGTTCAAACTCCCCCAGAGGCACTTTGAAAGACAGTTCCAGTGATTTGTTCCACCATGCACACATAAGGTCACCATGAGTCAGAAGTGGAGACAGACAGGTAGCATCTGAGGAGGTGTGTCTGTTCCCATCGTATGTATGATGTTACTCACGTGTGGGTCAGTGAGGAGCAGGCCCTTAGTCAGCTAGTGCCTTATTGCCTTTAGGTTTTAAATGTGACTTGCTGTGGGTTCATGCACCACACTACAAAGCGGTTTGAACTGCAAGGTTGGCAATTCAAGCTCACCAGCTGCTCCTTGGAAACCCTATGCAACCCATATAAAACTGTGCAAGCCCAAGATGCTCAATGAGAAGAAACACAATTTAAACAAAGCTTGCCTAATAAAATATTTTATGAATTTTGAAGCACTAAACACGGGCTGGAGTCCTGGTATAGCTCTGTGGGTTAATGCGCCCGACTGCAAAGTTGCTTTTAACCATAAGGTCGGCGTTTCAAGCTCACCAGTCTCTCCTCGGAAACCCTACACAGGGTCGCTGTGGGTTGGAACCAACTCAACGGCACTAAAGTGGGGGAAATACTCATGAGAAGGAAAGCAATAACACTCTTTCAATAATGTCTTAATTTGAAACAACGTGATATATTCTTTTATTATTATTTTTTTTTTGCTAGTGAACCACCGCTCTGTCTGATCAGGGTCAACTTCCAAAGGTCTCTGACCCACTCCACAAATTTTATTGTCAATCATTTAACTTGTCTTCAAAAACTGTCTTCCTCTAGCAGAAAAATAATTTGTACATTTCAATCATATTGACATTTCCTTTTACTGATGATTCAATATCTCTTTTGAGACTTGTAAAAGGTAGATTTTCACATGTGATATGGTACTTTGTATTTGTTCAATGTCTTGCATTTAAGCTTCCAAAATTCTTCACAAAATGGTCCTCAAACTCTCCTAGCTTCATTCTGACAACCATATGACATGCAGTTTTCCTAGAATTTCTGAACTAAGTTATTTAAAGACCTCAGCTGCTGCAAAGTATGCAGCAAGGAGATCATACTGTCTTAAAGACTAAGGTCTGGTTTAATCCTTAAAGCCTGAGTTTTAAACTTAAAGTACATTTAAATGTAGGAACTGAGGGTCCTAGGCCCCAGCCAATGACAGCAGCGGTGTTTCACTCGAAATCTGTTTTAGAGACTGGAACATGGAGAAAGATCATGGCTAGGCTTACTCATATACGCTTCAGTTTGTTCATGTTAGGAAAGTGTCTCAATTACCCGTCTTATCCATCTTCAACAGTCTGTGGTTTCCAACCACCCAATAGTTCATGCAAAGAAGTTCTGGTGATGTAGAGGGTTAAGCATCAGGTTACCAATTACAAGGCTGATGGTTTGAACCAACCTATGTGTTCATTCCTCTCTATGATCACTGTGCAACCCTCTCAGTGCTTCACCCTTACCACTCCCCACCTCATACCCAAGTTTTATCCCTAGATAACTTTGATAACAGAGCTGTGAGAATCTATCCACTAGTAGGTCAATAGATTTCAATAGAATAGAAAATATTAGGATGCATCCCACATAATAAGCATATTATTTTGGTTATGTATAAAAGTGCACATAACTATTAGATATACTGTCTATAAAAGACACATCAAAAAGATGGATAGCCTAATGCCTATCAACAGAAGAATGGTTAAACTAAACTTTGGTACATACACACAATGGACTACTATGCAATGTTGAAGATTAATGATATATCGCAAAACACCTCAATATGGATGATCCTGGAGGACATTATGCTGAGTGAAATTAGTCAGTCACAAAAGGACAAATATTATATAAGACCAATGCTGTAAGAAGTTAACAAAAGATTTTCTTGATAAAAGAAACAATCTATGATGGCTACAGGAGGTTATGTTATTGTTAAGTGCTATCGAGTTGGTTCCTACTCATAGCGACCCTGTATAGGGTTTCTGAGGAACAGCTGGTGAATTTGAAGAGCTGACCTTGTGGTCCAGTGCATTATGTCACAGGGCAACATCAGGATGGCTACAGGAGGTAAGGGGAGGGGAAATTACTCACGAGCTAGAGAGTAGATACAGGTTAGCATGGGTAACAAGGCAGGCAATATACAAAAAGAGGAAGGTTAGCAGAGTAAACAAAAAGTAGCAGGAGACACGGGGGAATGCAAGAGGTAACTGTTGGTGCGTATATGGCAATCATTGTAATGAAGCAAAGTATATGATTTGTTGACTGAAAGCTGATGGTCTGTTCTGTAAACCTTTAAAGAGTTTGAAAAAGTTTAAGTTATTCTAAAGGACAAAAAGTGCATATAGCTAGACCCTGAAGTAAAATGTATTCCTTACTCTAGGTAGAGGTTTAAAAAATTTCTGAAGGTGAGGGTTCTACATAGGGCTTACCTTTGTCCAATGCAGCCTGCAACATGACAACCAGGCTCATCTTTCTAAATCTCTATTCTAGTCACTGTAACTCCTTCTTCAAAAACTTTTAGTGTTCCTTCATTTCTCCCAAAGTCTGGACACATTAGTTTGAATCTTGAGGCCCTCATGGCATTACATAGTTTTCAAGCTTAATGTCTTCCTCTTCTCCACCAATAACCCACTTCCAGTCAGTCATAGTCCTTATTGGTCCCTGTGCGTGCGTAACTGCTACTTCCCCACCTTTGTGCATGCTACTTCCTCTTCCTGGAAAGCCTTCCCCTAGGCCATCTCCCATTGAAATCACATCCACCCTTAAATCAGCTTCCAATCCTATTTTCTCAGGAGGCCTTCATCATTATTGTTCACCCTGGAAGTGGGATCTTATCACAGAGCTCATCTCACATGAAAAGCACTCATTCTTCTTGCCTCCTTTTATGGACATTCTTGTATTTGCATTATTTTTGCATCTGGACTGTAAACTCCACTGAGAGTTGGGACCATTATTTGTACAAATGGTAATCTTGCTAAGTTATTTAAGTTCTATATGCCTCAGGTTCTAAGGCAAAACAATAAATATCTACATCAGAGGTTCATTTATGGGGGTTAAATGAGTTAACACAGATAAAAGTGTTTATATATGCCTGGCATATAATAAGCACTCAATAAATGTAGACTCATTATTTTATCTGCATAGTGTCTATTGCATCCGGCGTTCATATTAGTCCTACAATAGATGCTTGTATGTGAATAAATTAAGTACTATGATTAATTAGTATGATTTCTCTAAGAGTTTCTATTTCTGTTGTTACTGCTGCCCACTTCCTTCAATTCATCTACTTCTGGGAACCACTCAGATTCAGTGGCAAAGTTCAAACTCATCATGTGATAAAGGTGGTAGCTGCAACTGTTGCAAAACCTGAGAAATGCCCCTGGAACAGCCCACAGAGCATGTTAATAGCAAGTCAAGAAGAGGTGAGAGAGAAGCGTGCAGGCCTGTGCCTTATTTCACAGTATGGCTTCTCACAGCTTGGCTGCCCTACTCTCCCCATTCACATTTTATCTTCCCACTTGACTTGTCTTCCCTGCCCTCTAATCATTTTTTCCTACTCTTTTCTCCCTCCCAATCTAAAAATAAAATTTATAAAAAGAAATGAAAAATTGAAAGCAGGAACAGAAATTTATATACCAATGTTCATGGGTACTAATGACGCTCTGGTAGGGTAGTGGTTATGAATCGGGCTGCGAACCACAAAGTCAGCAGTTCGAAACTACTAGCTGCTCTGCAGGGGAAAGATGAGGCTTTCTGCTCCCGTAAAGATTTACAGCCTCGGAAACCCTGTTCAGGGTCGCTATGGGTCGGAACCGACTCGATGGCACTTAACAACAACAACAACAGCAATCACAGTAGCCAAAAAGTGGAAACAGCCCACGTGTCCATCCACAGGTGAATGGATAAACAAAATGTGATACATATACACAACGGCATATTAGTCAGCCACAAAAAGGAATGGGGTTCTGATACATACTATAACATGGATAGACCTCAAAAACATAGTGCTGAATGATTTAAGTCAATCACCCAAGCACAAATATTGTATGATCCCACTTACATAAAATAGGCAAATGTGTAGACATCAGAGTTAACTAGTAGTTACCAAGGGTTGGTGAGACATGAGAAGTGGAAGCTTCTCCCACTTAGAGAGCATTGGACTTCTAGTAAAGGTTCCAGGATAATTTGGAAATGAACAGTGGAGATAGATGCACAACATGATGAATACAGTCAATTCCATTGGATTGTATGGACAAGAAAGTCTGAATTGGCAAATATATAGTAACATATACTTTTAAAGTAAAATAATTCTTAAAAAAAGAAATGAATGAAAGATAGGAAGGAAAGGGGGAAGATTGTGAGTCTTGGGAGGTAAATATCCTATGCATGCTGTCTATCTCCCTTGCATGGTGGGGCACCAGTGAAAATAAAGGTGTTTCAGCTCTGGGGCCCCCATCTGCAGGTGACTTTGACAAGTTACTGAACTGCATTCATGCTGCAGCTTACTCCATGAAAGATCTTTTTCAAAGTTTTGTGTAAACAAAACAAAATTCAAGCTGGCAGCTACCACAGAAATAACAGGCAACTGCAACATTACATTTTCCAACTTTTGGAATGAGAGAAACAGCTCACGCCAAAGTAGGTAAGGCAACGTGGGATCCGAGCATTTGATAATGTCAGCTATCTCCTCAGAGTTTTACTAGCAGATCGGTGTCAGCTCCCTCTTCTTTGTTTTTTTTCTTGCCTCAATTTTTCTCCACATAGGACATCTAAATTGAGGACTTTGTCTCTCAAAGTATAGACAGGTCCCAGGCTGAGGCTACAGCATTAGTGTTACAATTGCTCTTAATAACTCTCCTGTTTTCCTGTATTATTTATGCTGGCTCAGCCTCCATAGGGTTCTTTGGAAACTTTCCTCCTGCATAATCAAGCCAGGAGCCTCTTTAGACTACAGATGGTTCTGTTTTTAACCATGGGAGTTTTATGGTATGGCAATGCCAAGTCTGGAATTTCAAATTCAGCTACATGAAAAGTTTGTGTGAATGTATATGTGTGGGCATTTTTTCCTCCCTCTCAAATTCTCTAAATCCAAAACTCAAAATAAAATATGCCAGGAAAATGAAAAGTTAGGTCTCAACATAATAAATATGTCAGACCCAGAGCTACAAAAAGCAGCGCACCACAAAACCATACTGGTAAGAACTCTGCTGCTTTCACCCTTAAATTTGTTGATACCAAACATGCAGCCATTCTTATTCTTGTCAAAAACCTATATTGTACTATTTTTAGAGCTGTCCACATTCCATATCTTATTCTAAGCACAACTCTTCCTGGTTTTCTCTCTTACCCTCGAGACATTCCTTGACTAAGAACAAATGATTTATGAAATGGGAATAAGTGATTTCCAGGGTCAAAGACCATAAACCTCTCCTTCATTGTACCTGGTGCTGAATCAAAGATGAGCCCAGAGATTTTTTTTTTTTTTTCGTTAATTTTCACTCCATTCTGGTTTTGTTTAGTTAGTTTTACCCTGGGCCTTTTTACTTCAACAGGGATTATAAAGAAAAACTCTCCTTTGAAAAGCTGGACATCATTTCACCCAGAGCAATAAATTCACATCATGAATTCATTGTAATGATAATCTTTGTTACTTGAGAAACAGGGATCATATATTTGTACTCTACCAGCAGGCTGGGGCTGCAGAATCTCAAAAGAAAGCAAATGGTAAAAGATAATGCCACTTCTGTGAAGGTTTTTCAAAGATGTATGACAGGTTTCCATTCTGGTTTCTTCCATTTGTAGTTTCAGCAATGGGTGAGAGAGATGAACAATAGACAATTGATCAAAATAAAACATATGGCAAGGATTATAAAGCCAGGCTTCCATTTCACTGATACTTATAGCAGTGGAAGTTATAATCATGATGGTAAACACAACACAGAGAATCAAAACATGAGCTTGTGATGAATTTTATCTTGGTGGCACTGATGACTTGTTTTTCTCACAGTCATCAAAAATTCTTCCATGATTGAGGAAATCAGGGTCATAAATTCATGAAGCCATTTGCTGTTCCTTCTAATTCATGATAAAGTGGCCAAATTGTACAATAGATTGAACTGTTTTCTGGAGGTGCGTTCTTTCTGGGAGGTGATGTTTTCCATTTTTCTCCCCACAGGCCATCACAGCTGGTGTACTTCTACTGTTGGCTCAGAAGGAGTGGACCCAGAAATACCTGGTAAATAGACATAAAATAGGAATGTAGAGTGGATTCAGAGGTCAAATAACTGCTAGTTCAGGATCTAGCAGGAACATCACGAGAGTTCATTATAATTGCATTTTTTAATTGATGCCCGTGATGGAGTTCAGTAATCAACTAAATATATTTTCTAAAAATAGCATTAATTTGATTCCTGCTCCAAACATTTTCCACAAGTTCCTGTGATTATTGTATTTGGAGAAGACAGATTGTTAGTGTTACAGCATAGATGTTATCATTTTGAAAGACTGAATCTATAAGCTTCTCTGCTTTCAATAGCATTTCTTCAAACCTCAACTCCTCAATCTCCCTTTTACTTTCCCTTCCATAAAAGGATGAGAAGCATATGTTATCTTGCATTCTGACAGTGTAGTTTCAGGTTACCCATGATACAGAATGACTATCTTGATCTGATTATAGAGTTTCTTCCTATGGCTAAGGTAGTGCTTCTCAAACTTTAACGTATAGGTGAATCAAAAGGTAGTGCTTCTCAAACTTTAGCATATATGGAAATCATCTGGGAATCATCTTAAATGCACATTCCAGTTCAGAAGAACTGGGTGAGGCCTGAGATTCTGCATTTCTAACCACTTTCCAGGGGATCTTGATATTCCTGGATCATGGACCACTGAGAAGAAAAGGTCCAGAATCTGTTACTCATCTTCGTTTTCCCCACCATAGAAAAGTTCTTCTTCACATGATAGAAAATAAATAAACAAATGTTTGTTGAATGAGATTGATTGCATTCTTGCTCCAATTGTGTTATATCAGAGGGGAGGTGTAGGAACCAAAGGGAAGGTTGTAACAACCATTCCTCCTTATTTCTCAGTAGAAGACATTAACACCCAGCTTTTTTTTTTTTTCATATTCTTAGAAAACTTTTGAAATACCTAATTCTCAAAGTAAAAATTTGTTTATGTTTTATTTTTAGTGGGAAGCCAGCTTCACCTTTGTGATTCTCAGCATTATGGGATGCCCACTTCATTTTGCAATAGCCTTGGAATCTGCTCTCCTTGGCCCATATTGCTTCTACTCATTTGCAGGAATTGCAGGGACCAACTACCTTGGTTATGCAGTGATCTTTCCTTTTCCATATGCAAAATTCCCATCAGTCTGTGTGGACCCACCACACTATGAAGAGTACCATCTGACACTTCAAGTCCTTGACCTGTGCCTGAGCTTCGCCATGCTCTGTACCTCCCTGACTGCACTTATCAAGCTTTCTGCGAGACTTATCCATAATGGAGACATAAATGTAAGTGTCACAAAACGGAGAACCAGCTCTTGTTTTGTCCTGAATGCTAAAGTGGAAGGTTTGATATAATAGCATTTAATATCTCTCTAGAATGCACCACTGTATCCTAAATAACTGTGCTAGCCATTGCATGGCACGTAATTGTTGTCGTTGTTTTTGGGGGGGTGTTTTTTTTAAGTTTTTATTGTGAATTGAGTGATAGTTTCCATGGGAGAACATTGGTTTTACACTCATTATTTCATTGCAATGATTACAATCTCCTCCGTGCATCATCGTTCAACAGTATTTGCTTCTAGTCCCTCTTTTTTGGGGGCAGAGGGAGAGATGGGGGAGATGTACACAAAAACACTCAGGATTATATAATTTAAACAACCAAAGGGCACATTCTGTAAGCTTGCCTCCTGGCTGCCAGCACTCGATCTTTCCTTTCCTTGAGTTTAGAATCTTCAGCTGCTCTCTCTCTCCATGTCCTCATCTCTGCCTCCATCTCTGGTGTAGCTGCTTCTCTGGATAAGGTCCCACTTTCTTCTCATGCTCTTTTACTTTGATGGTCCTAGGGTCCTCTGTTTCTGGACTGTAAGATTAACTACTCCCCATTTTTTGTTACAAAGCTTCTAACTTTACAGCTGTGACAGTTACAATTAGTCATGGTAACAATTATTCATTATTGAGTCATAAGAATCTTATCCCCATCTCTTTTCACCAGCCCCATCTAGACAAGATGAAAACTATTTCATCTAGACAAGATGAAAACTATTCAGTGGGGAGTCTATCTTCCCCAGCACACCCTTAAACTAAACTCCCTCTTGAAAACTTGTAAGCCAGTCACTTCGTACCTTTATTGCACCCTCATTTTAGGTAGCCAATGTCTTAGTTGCCGGTTCCTATCAACCCTATATACAGAGGATTGATACTTGATGTGACGATTTCTTCCCTCTCAATTAGTATTTTGAGCTACTACATCCAAATTGTAGCAATTTAACCTTGTTTCTTTTATTTAAAAATGTTTGTTTGTTTGTTTGTTTGTTTTATCTTCCTCTATTTGAGTTCTGATCATCAAGTCACTGAGACTAGGTCAAATGGGTACTGTCTGCAAATTTGGGTGTTCTTGTGCATCTCCTCTCACTTCATATCAGCTGAATGCTTCATTCTCAGCTCTAGTCCTCCATAGCTATGTTCTTGTCCATGGACTCAGGAGTCCCCAGGTCTCACCACACTTCAGACCCACCAACCCTTCCTCTTCTCTCTTTCATCTGCAATATAGCTGTTTTTTAAGTGCTGTTGAATCAGTTCTGATTCATAGTGACCCTGTATAGGATTTCCAAGGCTTTAAATCTTTGCAGAAACAGAAAGCCTCATCTTTTTCCGATGGAGTGGCTGGTAGGTCCAAACTGCTGATCTTGTGGTTCACAGTACAATGCTTATCCTATGGAACCACTGTGCTTCCTGGCCCATAATAGTGCTGCTGGTGGTAGTAGTGGTGGTGGTGTGCTATCAAGTTCTTTCCAACTCATAGCAACCCTGTGTAGAGTTTCTGAGGCTATAAATCTTTACTGGAGCAGAATGGTGCATCTTCTTCCCACCGAGTAATTGTTAAATTCAAACTACTGACCTTGTAGTTAGCAGTCAGCTTGTATTTAAATTCAAACTACTAACCTTGTAGTTAGCAGTCAGCTTGTAACCCACTATGCTACGAAGGCTCTTTCTGGCACATAATAGATGCTCATTAATAGTCACAATAGTTTGTGACTGAGCAAATGGAAACATGATGATACGATAAGTAAATATACAGCTGTAGCCAATTTGTATCTCAACCCACAATTTAAAAAATTACTAATAGAGATAAATTTTTAAGAGTTTTTGTGTAAATTAAAGGCAGTATCCTTAATATTTTTAGTATTAGTCAAAAACAGGTATCGTAATCTTGCTTATAGTCCATGAATTTAGAAAGGCATACATGCTCTAAGCTGATATACTCAACATCAAGTTTATCAACAAGGCTTTTAATAATATTAATGACATGATAATACTAGGGACATTTATTGAGTGCTTACTTTATACCTAGTCACTTCTCCAGTTTACAGATGGCAAACTGAGGCTAAAGAGTAAAATTTGCCCAAGGTTACATGACTGAATTGTTGCTGTTGTTAAGTGGCATCGAGTCATTTCTGACTCATAGTGAACTGACTATATAGGGTTTCCAAGGAGTGGCTGGTGAGTTTGAACTGTCAACCTTGGGGTTAGCAGTCTAGTGACTATTTTACAGTGCCACACCAGGCCCATCGTAGTGTCTCTCAAGCTGGCCAAGTCCATCCGACTCTCTTCAACACACACTTGTCTACTAAAACATTGGGACTCATGGCTCTGGACTCCAAAAGACTTGGAGCAGGTCATTGAGAGAAGAGCCCACATGACTTTTGATTCCAAATTCCAAAGGCAGATTCTGGGTCCCTTATGGGAGGATTGAACAGCCTCCTTCTGGAGAGTGCTGTTTCTCACTGCAAATTCTTAAACTGGCTTTCTGACTCAGGCTAGTATCATATTAGCCATTTGGTTTCTTTCCAGTTTAATACTATGCACTTCAAACATCAAAGCTGAAGACTTGTTTTCAGCATTCATGATGCCTTTTATGGTCAGTCCTGTCCTCTACAATTTCTGCATAAGTCTGTGCATTCTTTAGGAGAGAGTCCATTTTACCAAGAAGACCTGCTGAGAACTGTGAGCAGACCAACATTACCTCCCCCACTGTACTCTTAGGTTAGCTGGAAGTTTAGCATTTGAGATTTCTCCTTTTCAGTGAACATTTCACACTTCCTAGAGCCCTTTGTTAAAGGAACTTACAGCTAAAAGAGTTACACATTGAAGTGTTTGTAGTCCCAGCACCTTAGCCTGGAAAGTAAGCAGGATATTTGTCTGCCACCTTAGGTATGACACCCCAGCACATAAATTTAATGTGTTATCCAGGGCAGAAAGAAAAGACAGAAAACAAAACAAAGCAAAAAAAAAAAAAAAAGATTTAGAGCTTGGTAAGCTAGTTCTATGAGATCCAACAGTAAGGTCATATAAAAGTAGAGCCCTTGGGGAGAGAAAAAATGAGTTGAAAAGAGAGGAATTTGGGTCAAGGGCAAACTGCTTCAACTTCAGAGTCTTGCCTATACCCATCCTTCAGAACACACCTTCTTTCCACCTGAGTTTTGAGCCAGGTATGGGACCAACATTTCTCAAGGTAGATCATTGCTATCAGAGTTACTTAGGATTCTTTTTAAACCAGATTTCTTGGTCTCTGACAAGCCTTATTAAATTGGAAACTCTGGTGCGGGAGACAGAGAAAATGCATTTTAACATACTCCCCAAGAGACTCTGATGAACAATCAAGTTTAAGAATCATTACTTGATTCAAAGATTCTATCAGTGTTACTTTCCCCAGATTCTCATTTTCCCCATCTGTATAAAATGTAGCCCTAGTTTGGGTGAAAGTTCTAGATCAATTTAATCAGCAGCATTTCTTGAGCATTTTTGGATGACTTGACACCATTTAATCCATTATGGCAGCAGATCCCATGCCATTAACAAGGATGATGGCATAACGAGTTGTGATGTTTTATATTAATAAATGCACCACTGCCTCATATGCCATCTAACAGCATATGCCATCAAACAGATCTTTGCTATCCTGTAGGAACCTCAGCTATATTGGGCACAACTTTCAACAGTGAAATAAATGTCTTATTCATTAAAATTTCAGGAAACACACAACTTTCTTAGTAGGAAAGGTGAATGAATTGCCAGGATACAGAAGTCTATCCTTTTTTAATCCAAATCCAAATCAGCTAGATTTCCCACAAGCTGATAGTGTTAACAAGTATTTTAAATATTTTATTTTAAATTATAATAACATTGTAAAATATGCTGTTAATTCATACCTCTTTATTCATATAAACGAACCTGCAATAATATCTTTTAAAACTGTTCTTTTAAGTGTCTGGCTGAAAACTAAACCTATGTTACATAAAATTTGAGAGCCATAACAATTTGTACGAAAGAGAAAAGTGATGGTTTGGAAGATTTGGGGAAACAGATGTCAAAGTAAAGGAGTCCTGGTGCCAGAGTGGGTTCAACATTGTACTACCAACTGAAAGGTCAGAACTTAGAACCCACCAACTGCTCTACAGGAAAAGATGAGCCAATCCATTTCTATCAAGATTTACAACCTCAGAAACTCTATGGGGCACTTCTACTCTGTTCTACAGGTCTGCTATAGCTGGAATTGACATGATGGCAGTAGATGAGCAGGTAGTCAAAGAACAAAATTAATTATGTTTTTAAGATCTATCTATAAACGTCAATAAGGAGCTCTGGTGGCGTAGTAGTTATGAGTTGGACTGCTAACCTCCAGAACTACAGTTGGAAACTGCCAGTTGTTCTGCAGTAGAAAGTTGAGGCTTTCTGCTCCTGTAAAGATTTACAGCCTTGGAAACCTTCTAAGGGTCCCCATGAGTCGGAACCGACTGCACAGCATGCCACCACCACCACCATAAAGGCCAATGGAGTCCTGGTGTGGCACTGTGAGCTAATGCACTGAACAGCGAAGTTGGTTTGAACCACAAGATTGGTGGTTCAAGCTCACCAGCCGCTCCTTGGAAACCCTATACAGGGTCACTATGGTTCAGAACTGATTCGACGGCACTTAACCACAACAACAACATGAAGGTCAATATTATAAGGGAAAATAATAACTTCTAAGAGTTTTTTCTTGTAATTTCAGAGGCATTTTCAAATACGATTCAATCCCCTACTTCAGAATCACCATAGCCATTACCTGTACCTTCTTGGCTTCGTAGAACTAAGATCATCTTGTTCAAGGTCACATGGTAAAGGTGTATGAATGGACAGTCAGTGGGTACTCAACCAAACCACCATGCCAAGTGGTTGAAAGAGGCATGATGGATCTGGGTAAACATGTAAAAGACATGCATGAGCCCTTCAAGCTCTCAAGACCTCACTTAATAGGTGCAGGAAAAGGCTAAGAAATGAGCTCCCAGTTTGTGAGGCTAAACACAATGCCCTGA